GGATCGAAGACAAAAGGTCAAATCTCTCTCTTTTATTTATTTTGTAATATTATATTTTGGAGATTTTTATGGGCTAGTGGAAAAGACAATGCTGCTGTTGAAAATAATTATGATTGTATTGTTAACAAATTGTCTGAAGGGGGGTCTTCTCTCTCATGAATTCTTTTTATAATAAAGCTAGAGGTAGCTGTTCTTACCATTGAAATTTAGAGCATAGTTATAGCTGATGCTATCTCTGATGGATTGCTAGAGGCAAGAGAATAGCTAATGTAACTCTAAAGTCATCTGTGAACCCAAACTGCAAATTAAAAGGTGACTTTGTATCTTTCTTATATGGAAAATGTGTGCTTGTCATATCTACTTGACAGTACAAAAGAGAATGTATAGTTTGGACAATAACGAACAATGACAGTAGTCAGCCTCATCAGAAGACATGAAATAAAGAAATGACAATGATTGATGGCAGCTGGCTGTTTGTGGATTTTTCTAGAAGAGTTTTTCTTGGCATCGTCAAGTATCCAGGGGATATTGTGCCCTGCCTGAGCTCCACACAGCAAGCAAAAGACTGGTCCTCCCATGCCTGCTGCCCAGAGGCACTCAGTGGACCACTTAATTGAGAAACAACTTAATTCCTCCATGGTCTTTTTGACTAAACCAAGATCACTTGAATGGCCCAGAAAGGAGAGCTTCTTGGAAAGCTATCAAGGGCCACATTGCATTTTGCAGAAATCTTGAATTTAAAACTGCTATGGCAATACCCACAAGAGGATAAGCATGTGATGTTTATTTCAATGTTAATTTCTAGAATACTTTGTGAGGCAGCTGCTTTGCCTAAAAATCACAGTAGAGACTTTATCAATGATCTCAAACCAAATAAATGATTTATAATTATCTTTGCTGAAGTTATTGCATTCTCAAGTAGTTTACAGAGAACTTGATGTTTTTACGTTCATAAACTCCAACATGAGCAAAAATAAATTTTCTATACTTGAATAATAAAGGATTTTACTGTAAATTACTATATGACATGAAAATACTCAACTAACTAGTGAATAAATATGTTAAATGTAGCTGAAGTAGTTAACAAGGAAATGAGCCTTCATTTAATATGGTCTATGTAGATCATATCGTGGTGTTTGGAAAATTTTGAAGTTGGTAGTGGTAGTCTATTCTTTTAAAAAGTAATTTGCTTTTACAATGAAAAGGAATATAATTTATGGTACAGTTTTGGGTTGTGCAAATTAAGTTGATATTGAATTGATTCTTTGATATTGCATCCTGCTACATAGCAACTGCAAGTTGACAATACAAGAAGATATAGCAAAAATCTTATGACATAAAACTATAGAAAGGAATTAAGGCAAACAACTATTTTAAAATCTACTAGGATAGCAATGCATTGTTGTGCAAATACATGTAAATTCGCTCAGAACAGAATTCATTCAGTCATCTACTCATCCATCCTTTCTTGCATTCTTTAAAAAAAAATTAGCAAAATCCTAAATTCCCACTAAGTTTACATTCTCTGGTAAGCTTTTTAAAATGCCTCATCAGACATTCAAAGGAAAGTAAAGTTAAATTAAGTATCTGCTTGGAGTGGTGAAAAAGTCTGTCTGCTAGCCAGGGGTACATTTATGCAAAATAAAAGGAAAAAAAAAAAAGAAAGGGAGAAAAAAAGCAAATTAAAGAAAGAAACAAAAAGAATTTGAAGAAAGGACTATTATTAAATGGTCAGGAGAAATGATATGACCTACTTCTTCTAAATTAGCATTCAGAATACTCAAATACATATTTGCCTGCTCTCTTGACCAGATTTTTCTAGCTCCTTCTAATGTCAAGTTTTCCTGCAACATTTTTTTGGTGGATAGCTTTTTGCCTACGTG